GAAAAACCGTAGATAAATTTCTAGATTTTTCTAAAATAATAAATAAAATAAAAATTTATTCATAAAATTGTTTATTTCACGTATTCTCTTAGATTATATATATTATATGTACATATATATACATATGTAAAAATATACATATATTATATATATTACAATATTTAAGATATTCAAATATAGATAATCAAATTCTACAAATTTATATTTCAGTAATTCGTATATGTTGATCGAATCGGCAAATAAAATGTCAATGGATTTGATGTATCTTAATATTGAAATTTCTTTAAAGTAGCTTCGAAGAATACTAATCATCGAAATTCAGAAGACAATTGAAATGATCAAGTTCAGGAATAGATCGCTATGAGTTTGTCATGTCTATAAAAACTCACTCAAGGAGATTGTTATCGATATTGAGGTAGATGCGACCGAAATCGAAAAGCTAATAGCAAAAGACAAGAAACGGAGTCGTGACAGGCATGATTTCACATGGACTTGCCATGTGAGATACCGAGGGAATTCTCTTGAAAGTCAGAGGCTTCGTCCAATAAAGAAACGAATCTAGGAAAAGGTAGTTTAGAAAATCATATGAGAATTCATTAGAATACAAACGTTAAATGGGCAAAGAAACTTTTATGTCAATACAATTTATAATATAAATTGTAATCAGTACAGACTCAAAAAAAATTAGAAATGTTAATTCAAAAGAATAGTTGATTTTATGAATAAATCCGGAAAAGAGAATTTAAAACTGAGGCGAGAGAAACATTGAAGAGAAAACGATTACTTATCTATAAAATCAAATGTACGTCAAATATACGTTCATTAAAATTTCTATAGAAAAATCAGAGAGAAGAAAATTCCATTCGATATCAAATATGATTTCGAAGAAATGACGAAGTCTTTTCGAAGAATCTGAAGAGATTTCTTCGAATTATTTTAAAAGAAAAGATGTGATTGTAAGGGGATAATCACATACATAATTTCCGTATTTATTTATATATAAAAGATAGAGATTAAAAAAAAATCGTGCCAAAATCATTAAATAAATTTTTATATTTTAATCGTAAAAAAAGACAATAAAGATATTCTTAAATTATATCTCCGATATACCAGATCAATGTTGGAGAAAATATAGAAATATATTAATTATAAAACAAAAAATTTATAATTAAATTTAAAGATGGTAAAAGGCAGAAATATATATACAGATTTAGCACCAATCGATATAGACGAGAGATAAACATATTTATATTAAATATAAGCAAAGAGATTTTAGGAAAAAGAGCGATTAGAAAAAATACTAAATCAAATTCTAGAAAAATTTAAAAAAGCATCATTTTGAAAAAACAAATAAAATAATACCATTTATAAATTATCCGTTAAGAAGTTTTCATCGCAAAAATCACATCGACAAAAATTGATAAACTCCGTTTGAAATTACTTACATGAGAATTTAAATTTCAATATAAATTTGAATAAGCTGATTAAATCAAAACGTACTTTCTCGATTAAAGAAAATTGTTTGACAAAAATCAAGAATTTCCGCTTGAAGCATGGTAAGTCCTGCTAATGAATAAAAACTTAAATTCTAATAATATTAAATAAAAATGGACCAATAAAATGATCAACATAAAAGATGTTAAATTTTAATGTTTTAAATAAGTGGATCAGATCAAGATATCACAGCAGAAAGTAAACAAATGTAGGTATCACGGCAAATGTATTGGTTCAATGAGTCGATATTAATTGAAACAAGCGATAACAAGGTATTTTTTAACTAAATCGTATTTATGATTTAAAGAATAAAAAATTAATAAAAGAAAATTAAATTTCAGAGATTTAATGTCAATATAGTTTTGCCAGCTAATGCTTCACAAACTGCTTCACGTAATTCATCGAAGAATTCTAATAATTGGTCTACTAAACAAAAAAAATTTATATTTTGTAGTAACAATCTTTTGTGATATATAACTCTTTTGATAAACATTTATTTCAAATATCTCATATTTATATGCAAAAAAAGAATAAAATTAGTTAAGTCTTTTAGTCTTACAATATATGGGTTGTTTAAAAAATTCTGCGATATTTTATTAACTCAAAATTATATAGCTCAAAATATATTGGTTACAAAATTATCTGACGTAAAAGCTTAAAATTTTCCCCAAAAATTCGTCTTTAAAAAATGTTCCTACAATTGTTTGTTACCAAGTTACATGTTGGTTAAATAAAAAAGCGATGATTTTTAATGGAAATATAAAAGCAATCAAAATTAAAATGCTCCTTTTTATTTAACTCGTGAATAACTCAAGAATAAAAAAATAGGATTATTTTTACTTAAAAAAAACGATTTTATAGAGAAAACTTTCCGCAATAAATAGTCAAAAATTTTTTTGCACATGACAACCTATAAAGCGAAAAGAAAAATTTCTTTTTTTAGCCTCGTAATTTTCTATATGTAAAAATATTATCAAATTCACATAAACTCAAAAATTATAGTTTCTTGAAAATAGAGATTTCAAACTTTAAAACTCTTTTTTTATTTTTAAATTTCGTTCATTTTTGACAAAGATATTATATATACAAAGATACTATATATATATATTTTGAGCTAATAAAATATCGGAACTTTTTGAACAATCTAATAGTAAAAATATTAACCTTCTTTAATTGATAAATGATAATGTTACGATATATTACGTTATAACACAAATATATAACTGTCTCGGTAAATAAAAATTGCGATCAAGGAATTGACATCTACATGATATTGTATTTACTTGTCTCAACTGGTTAGTTTCCATCATGTCATATTTTATTGTTATCTTTCAAATATCAGAGATCGAGCAAATATTAAGTCATATCGATAAAAGAGAAAAAAATTGGAATTGATTTATATATGTATGTATTTAATGTATAGATAATATCTGCAAAAATAAATGATACAGATTCACAAATTGTCTCGTTTAAGTAAGTGAACAATAGTAAAAATTAATCGGCCACCAATACTGCTTTGATTAAACGTATAGTTTATTAAGACGAACAAAGTGCGATCAAGCGACACGCGTATCGAAATCGGACACGACATTCTCAATTTTCCGTGCCATTTGCGAAATCATATTGGTTTTGCATTGATATGAATACTATGATTGATGATGTATGTGATCCACTGTAGTAAACAAAGATAGATATCACATATCTCCTTTCTAAAACTGTATAAACTATTTGTCGGTGCACAATCAGTTAATAATAATAAGATTATATGCGTACATCTAATCATAATAAAGAAAATAGAGTTACGAGCAAATTTTGAAATTAAAAAAATTCGTATTACTTATCTTATTTATTTCTATTTTTGAAAAAAAAAATAGCATCTTCTCGAAAATGTGTGTTTACAATAATTTTTCTGGATTATCGTTATTTTTTACTAATATTTGCAGTTAAATTCATTGCGGTCTTACAATGTTCTGAATTGAAAAAGATCGCGATTAATCAGTATATATGTCAATCCTTCTTCGAAAAGTTCTAGGATGATTATGGGTGGAGAGTTTACTACAACGCGGTTCGTTCATGGATAATAAATCTATCCCTACCATTTCAATCGGTCAGCAGTATATGTACATACATAATGTGTATATCATATGCTATCCGGACAAAATGGCCATCAGCCACAGTAGCCACCTGTTCGTGCCTGTGGCATTTGTCTTCTGCCTTCTGTTACCATTCATTCATGTCTCGGATTCATACAGTAAGCAACTGATTCTATTTTACATAACAATTTTACAAATAAATATTCGATAAAAAACTGCACTTATTTCGCTATTACAATCATATTGTATCTTGACATTTATGACCTATTTGACATTTTGGAGATGAGCAATGAATTTTGTAATTATACAAGAGGATAACTTTTAAAATGTTCACTAAACTTTTAATTCCGTTAAATTTTCAGAAAAATATTATTTTGAAATGATTACTTTTAAAACATTGAACAAATCACTTAAAACCACTGGAAATTTATCAATAATTTCATATAATAAATATTTTATATACATATATTATATTTATATTATATATCTATAAACATTACAAGATTATAGTATTATTTTGATAAATTTTAGACATTTTTTAGGCAATTTAATTTAAGTACATCCACACAGACATATTTTATAAAACTTGAATGACCATGACCGTGTAATTTCGGACAAAGTTAATGCATTGTAGATATGCGAATACAGAAAGAAATTATTAGGAAATGCCATAATAAAGTTACACTGTTACACTACAATCATTGTTACGCTATTATCATAGTTTATTACGTAAGATACGACAAACCAAACAAAAAAAACAAAAATCAATTTGAGTTCTATAACTGGTAATACGGAATCCTTATCTCTATCCGCTTCAGCGGATCGACTAACGCGATCGCGTTACTATAAAAGAAAAAGATCGGAAGGAGACTAATTGTAAGTCTCTCGCCTTGACAACAAGATTCCTACGATCTTTTTCAATTTTCCTTTTATGTCACCGTTATCATAACGAATCATATTTGATATAAAGTTAAGGATGTATATGTATATTAATCGGCACGCAGTCGATATTATGCTGATTCGTGATACTTTCATTTAACTCTTATTTCGCCATGTTTGAATCCGTTGAAAATCGCCATTTTCACGCTAGCGTCTCGATCAGATTATTCACAGACACAAATAATTATCGGGAAACGCGTTAGTTAAACGGTAAATTGTACACGCCTGTTTACACTTTATTCCATTCTCTCAGACACCGCGGCAAATGTGCTATTAATTAAATATATCTTCTTAGCATTCTCTTTTCAAATGTTTGTTTCCATTAATTTTTTTATACTATTTTAGCTTTTACCCAATATTACTATACATTAAATCGTTAGAAAATTCTATTACGTGAATAAACGACTTTAATTATTTTTCGCTTAGTATTTCCGTGTTACCAGTGTGTGTGTGTGTGTGTGTGTGTGTGTGTGTAACCCAGCGTCCTAATTTTGAAATTAGAATTATAAAATTTTATCACATGGGGACAATAAGATCTTATTTTTACTCGCACATTCAAACAAACTTACAAGTGAAATTTTAATTATATGGATTATATATATTGTAATTGAAAGACATATTTAATAATAAGATATTAGATAGTAGTAGAAAGAAGGATGATGTCTCCTCTAATTTTTTCTTAAGAAAAAACTGACACCAAATTGATTAATAGTCCATAACTGAAAGAAATCAGAATATACGCGATCATCACAAGAGAGACAAAGAAGTTAAAATTATATATGTGTATATAATATTACATTAATGTTAAATGTAGGATACAGATAAGAATCTCATCCCTCTCTCTCTCTCTCTCTCTCTCTCTCTCTCTCTCTCTCATAACTATTATTCTATCTATAATGGCAACTTTGTCACGAGATAAAGACAGCTCATTTATTTGATATTCACTGGATTTCAGCGAAAATCTTTTCGAACAATTAGGTTAAGCCCTGACGTCAATCTCGCAGATAAACTTGAATCCGTTCGAAATGTTAACATCGATTTTCTATTTCTGTCGCGGTTCGTATCGCGATCGTAACGTGTCGGCTAAAGTCGCGGAGCGTTTCGCATAAAAGTCGTGGCCAAATGCAATCTCCGTGCAGCGATAAAGGCTGTCGGATACTTTCAGCTCGTTATATCGATCCGCTCAAAATACGGTGCTAACTTCGTAGATTACAGTTTACTCCGTGTCGTACTCCAGCGTCAAAGGGTAAAGTTGCTTTTTCCCCAACAAAAGCTGGCGCCACCCAAAATCTAATTCCATCGTCAGTAGCGGAATATCCTATGCGTCACAAAATAAATTAAATTCTACTAAAAGTGCTGCCCACTGGCAAGTTAATGTGAATCATAATTTCTTTTCTGTTCCTAAGTTAATCGAAATCGTACGAGTTTCGCACTAATACATTTTATTAGCGTCATGAATTTTTGTGGCGCTTTTCTTTGGATAAAAATATTTTGATAATACATCTATAAATTGTGTTTCATAAATTATTTTATTTTTTTCGTATCGAGAGAGAAAAATATGTTTAACATCTAAAATATATTCATATACACACATTACACTCGATATTTTAAAGATTTAGACTTTGTATTTAAATTTGATTGAAAATTAAAAGAAAATGACAGTTATGAATAATGTTTGTGTGTGAATTCTATTGTATTTTTTCCATTTTCAGTATCCTCTTAAAATATAATGATGAAATCATATGTTTTCAGAATTAAGGGCAATATCTCGATTTTGTCGAATGTAGAATCTTTAGTCGAAGTTATTATCTGAAGATAAATTTTTTATAACGTTAAAGTGATAACGATTGCTAAAAAGTTTCCCAGTAAAACTAAATATACAAACGAAAGAGAAAATGGTAGAAAATAGCCGTGATGACAGCACATAAATCCGTATGGACGTGTACGCGAGTGTCTGACAGTTGACAAATCAAAAGTAAATATCTTACGATAAATGGACTCCGCGCGAGAAACGACTATAACTCCCGTAACGCTTTACTACGTTTTTATCTTTTCAATTATCGTCCACGCCTCGCTAGCAATTAAATATCGTTAAACTGTACCCGATTGTGGCCAAGAGCATGCAACTTCAGCTAGACTATGTCTGTCGCCAAAGCGACTCGTTTCATTGTACGTTACGAGCTAATATGCGTTGCGCAAAACTGATTTCTTTTCAAGCATTTATCACCTTCGTGCGCTTTTACTACGCACATAATCTTTTTATACTGCTGTCATATTTAGTCAACGAGATTATATAACCAAGAAAACAGATAATTTTATGAGAAAAATCAAATTGATAACAAACAGAAATATAAACTTTGCAGAATATTGGAAAGGAGAATTAATAAACAATAAATTTGACAAAAGAAATGGTTTTATAAAAGACATTGATAAATATTTTTAAAATAACACGTAATACGCACGCACGCACACAGAGAGCGCGCATGAGAGAGAGAGAGAGAGAGAGAGCACAAATGATTATGAATTACAAATGAAAAATACAATTTCTGTAAAAGGTTCATAATTATCTATTTGTTAAAAAAATTGATTTTGATAATCATTGATGTAGCTACTTCAGTAGAAAACTAACATATCTCCAGTTTAATCTCAAGTTTAATAAACAAGAAAATCGGGAACGATAATGTATGGTAAGAGACATTAAGTGACTCTTTGACAAGAACCCTCAACTTCAAGTACCTACTTCGGTTTATTTAATATTATATGTTCAAAATGTAACCAAGTGGTGATTAAGTTTCGTCTTTAAGGACCAGATACCCAGCGTCAGTCTTGTTTGCAGATTACACCGACTCAAGACAGTTCGAGAAGAACCCCACAGTTCCGAGGAACATATACAACCATATTCAGCGGTTACCGAATTACAACTGGAAACCACCTGACAAGTACTATGGCCCGAGGTATTCCGGTAAACCGCAGTCAGTCACTGCGTTGATAATACAGGATGTTCATAAAGTTGCTGTTTTAGTTTCTGTTATATCAAACGTCTTATACACATTTAGACTAGTAAACAATAAGTAAATTTAAAATAAAGTATTATAAACAATCTCTTCAAGAAATAAAGAATTATATAAGTTATTCAAAAAATATCATACTCATTCATATAAAGAATATCAAAAGTTAATATGTATCTGCAAAATTAATAATTACAAATTATAAATAAAAAGGTACATATTTATCTATAAATAGATAATTTTATAGATAAATAAATTTTTAGGTAATAAAATTCGTGAAACAACTTATTGTAAATAAAGTTAAGAAGCCAACCGTTTTAACAGGGAAGAATCGACGAAGAAAAACCTGAGGATGGAATTTACAAAACCCGAGGATCCGGAACAAAGAACGGCGGATCCATGGATAAAGAAAATGCAGGAGATAAGCCGACAGGAAAGAGAAAAATGGGCAGCGTATAGAAGAAACGTGAAACTTACCCTCGACAATGTCGAAGAAACTACGAAAGCAGGAAAACTTACGAACAACGAATCGATCTCGGTAAGGACACACAAAACTTGATCTTTCTGGAAGAGCCATTAAATTAACCAGCAGTTTATGGCATTATTATACATCAATACAGAATCTCTAAAAAAATTAAGATTTTTATTAAATTATTAATTCCCAGTATTCAATAATAATTTTAATATTTAACTTGAATTTGATAATAAGGATATGGAGTAATGTGGAAAAATATCTACAAGTCTATACAGCATAAAAAAATTTATTTATTGTCTCTTACGACAAATGTAAATTAACCTGAGAGTTAATAAAAAGAAACTATTAATATTTTATTAATTTATATTTTATTAATTTTATTAACATATTTTATTAATAAATTTGTATTATACCATATAATACTTTTCTAATAAAAGTATATTTTGTTATAGATACCAATGTTTTCAATAAAGAAAAAATATGAAAATACAGAAAGATCGAAACTTCCTATAAAGTTATTTAAAAAAAATAAAACATTGGAAGCAAATATAAATGTAAGTTATAAAATTAAATTAAAGTCAATTATTAAAATATCTTTAAATTCAGTTTAATAAAATAATTACTCATTTAATAAAATTATTAAATCCGTTATAAAATTATTAATCCGTCAATCAATATTTAACATCATAATATTATATATAAATTTATTTGTATGAAATATAAATATACATGCA